ATCCAAAAGTCACGCCTACTGCCGTTACAACTAGAGTAAAAGGTGCAGGCTCCAGCAAATAAAAAAGCTTCCAGAGAGGCTCCATAACTAATCAACCACGCAATTTATTCCAATTCTTATCTCAAACTTGATTTCAATGCATATAAAGTAACACAAAAGGTCACAGCATATGGAACCAAAGTTGCAACGTTTCTCCGTCTAACACTTGAGCAGAGAAACCCCTGCAACCTGCCAAACATTAAGGAGAAAAATGTGAAGAATTTATCGCCAACTTTTAAAGTAATGGAATCCTAATTCAAAGTCATATCCAGCACACCATATTTATATCAATGGGAGATGGAAAAGTTTTTTGACAAGGCGATATTCTATACTACTCTAATCTACAACGAGGGAATTCGAACTTGGGTGCCAGAGGCGGGCGTAACCCACTTCTGCAAAAGATTTAAAAATCTCAGAAACTTGGTTTTGCATCTCTTTCTTACAAAATCCCAACTCAGCGATACTTTGCACCCACAATTGGGACCCTAATCCAATCTCACACAAAAAGTATCAATCTTTAACAATATCTTTTCCAATCTCACACCAAAGTATATCTTTAACATTTTCTTCTCCATTTCCCCCAATTTTCTCAGCCACCAAACAAGGGGTGAGACTCAAAATGTCAAATTTTCATTTCCTTTCCTACATTTTCCCATCAACCAAACAACCCCTTATCAAAACCCAAAGGAAAAAAACAAGCATGAGTAAATTTAGGAAACCAAGTACCAAATTTTGGTATTCGTAGCAATTTTACATACAATCATAGCTAAAGATCTGAGAAAAATAAGCCAATTGGAATGAGAAATTGGAGTTTATCAAAGTGAATGCTGAGAGGACTAACCTTGGACTTTTGCGTTCCTCTCTGGTTAAAGCAAAAGCGAGTCTCTCTTTTCTCGGAGCTCTACCCTTGGTAAGCAACTTTTTCTAGTTTTCATTTTCACCCCAAAATTTTTCCTATTTTCTGAACTGATCCCCAATTGGCAAAATCCTTATGGGTGGTATTCTTGATTTTATCTTATATAGGGGCCTTAATTAAATTATATCTTTTTAGTATTTTCCAATTTTCTTTGCATAATCTTTGGGTTGGGTTTGTTGGGGTACAACGGGGATTGCTGGATTGGCATATTGGGCCTAGTTTTGGTCTTTTGGATTCTTAGGTTACGACGTGTTCAATAAAAAGAGTAGTGTTGTTCACATAATCATTTTACTTCTGATATTGTTTTTTTCAATTTTTTGTTGTTGGATCAAATGAATTAAAAAATATTAATGAAAAAAAATTTAAAAATTTGTGTTAGAGGTAAGGTTTTAAAAGACGTTAGGCGCTAGTCGGACGGCAAACTTGGGCCTAGCGCCTAAGTGGCTAGGCAGGGTTTAGACGAGCGCCTAGACGTATTTAAGTAAATCTATTATATTTCACGTAAATAAGTGTCTATTTATACTTAAAATATATATAATTTCATCATAAACTACAAAATAGAATGACATATATATATATATTATGAAGTATTGGAACATAATGAAAACATGGGGAACAAGTATATAATGTGTTCGTTTAAGTATTCAACAAGTCTCTTACAATTTATTGAGAATAATAAAATACAAAATTAAAGTTATCTATTTTCTGTCTAAGTGAGTCGCAACATAGGCACCCAAGCAAGTCTTGGCGAGCTAGTTGGGTGCCTGAGCGGTCTAGGCGGGCGTCTCAGTACGTCTAGGCGCTATTTCTTAATTTTCAAACGCCTATGCATTAATCGAAGCTATGGCTAGTTGCCTAAGCGGGAAATTTTAGAACAATAGTTAGAGGTAAAAATGAATGTGTGAATAATACTATCTTTCAAAAATAGTTGCTTACTCCGACTAAAAAAAAAAAAGTTGTTTATTTTATTTTAAAAAATTGTTCATTAATATTTTTATCGGATTTAAAAGATGTTTACATTTAATCATCTTATTATTTTTTATTATTTGCGACGAGTTTTATAGGGGAGCGAGATGAATAAAAATCTTAGATGTGTAATGAGTAAATTTCCTTAATCATCTAGACCATAAACTCCTTATAACGAAGTTTAGAAAAAATGAAGAAATAAACTTCGTATAGTAACTTATGGATATAGCAGAAAAATATAAATTTCATACAATAGCTAGACTTTTTTTTTCCTTCTTGGTGTACAACATCAACTATATTTCAATCTTTTCAGATAAATTTTTTTCAAATAGAAGAGGGATCAGTTGGTGGCTTTGTCACGACAGTCAACTCTTTCGGATGCCGGGAAAACTCACAGAGACATTTCAGCCTCCCATTAGCCACCATCTTATGATTGACTACCATTAGAAATCTAATCAATGCATGTCGTACGGAGTATGAGTCTGTAATTTGTTCCCAACCATTAAACCACCCGGTTGTAGTTAATATTTTTTAGATAATTGAATTCAAGGATTAATGTTAAGGACCAAGATTGTCTCCCCTCCTACTTTCTATCCTCTTTCATCCCCTCCTACTTTTTCAGTCATTGATTTCGTATCAAGTTAATTTAATGCTCCAGATTTTGCCACCTCACCAACACACTAAAACATCTTTAAAGCCCTTTAAAGCCCAAATTTTCTAACTTTTTCTGCAACCTTTCGCCCCCTCTGCTGCATAAGCTTGAGTTGGAGTAGTAATACATGCTTCCAATACAAGCAGAACTTCTTGCATAGTCAAAATTAATAAGCATGGATTGCCACACCAGAATATGCAGATTCAAAATTACACATAAAATATTTGTTTCGCATAAACCAACGAGATCCAAACCTATCTAACTTAACAACTTTGCCTACAATCTCTTGTACTTACAATAAAAACAAAAATTTCAATTAAGCCTCCGGTAATGCAGACTAAAAAAGTCCAAAATAACAATAAATTGGCCTCTGCAATCTCCATGTATAGCATAGCTGCTTCTGCAATAACAATAAGTTGGCTTCCTCTCTTCATCTCCAATGGTCATCGCTTACATTCAAACTCAAAGCCTATAATCATCATTATCAATCATTTTCCATCCTATCTGCAATAGAGAAAAAGATATAGGAGAGAAAAAAAAATTATCATCTCAATTTTTGTTTCTTTACGGAGGAGGATGTGGGCTTCAATTAAAGTAGCACTAAAACTTTTGTAGACTTTAAAATTGTTCTCAATTACTCTATAAAAACAAATGATGGGACACGTTCAATAGGAAAAAGAGGACCCCACATGTTATAAAAAAGGAAAACACAAATTCTATAGCAAAAAGAAAACATAAAACACAAACCTGGGAAGACCCAATGAAGATGCAGTGGTGTAAAATGGCATAAGGATAGAGTTGCAAAAGTTTAGATGATCAACTTTGTTGTGATTGTGATCCAGAAATCAAATCAGCGGGGGGTGAAGTTTAGGAAGATTGGAAGAGCTGGGAAGGTAGATAGGAGGGAGAAATTTTTAGTTGTGACGGAAACACAAGTGGTACACATCACGTGTTTTAATAGGAATGGTGGAAATTTTATTTTTTAAGTTATTAACTTTTTAGCATACATATCTCACCATTTGTTTAGTAACACATGGTATATCACCCCGTGACCGGTCACATTGAAAAATCTCTCAATAGGAGGGGGAGGCAGCAGAAAAAGTCAGGAAAATTGGGTTAAAAGATGCTTTAGTGTTGTTGGTGAGGTGGCAAAATTTGGAACATTAAATTAACTTGGTATGAAATCAATGGCTGAAAAGTAGTAGGAGAGGATGGAAAGTGGGAGGGGATACAATCTTGGTCCAAATTAAATGCAAAGATGGAGCATGTTACTTGCGAACCACAAGTGAAGTCATCATTATCATTATTTCTAATAATTGAGGCTTGATAGATGATGGATCATCATCTTAGAATCTTAGCTCTAATTATTCATTAATTTGTTCCAAAATTTACCCATTTAACCTAATTTCTTATTTCACAAGAAAACACGTCATGATCAACATGATTTTGCTCATATCAATTTTATGTGATCACCAAAACTTGTTTATCTTTTCAATAACAATAAGGATAAAGATTTAGATTTTGAACCATCCCCTGTAGACAAAATGAAAAAAAAAAAAAAAAAATAGTCATTGTATAAATAAAGATATGGTGGGTAGTAATCATCACTACAGAATCACCAAATTTTCTCCTCTCTCTTTGTAACACCGGCCTCCCTCTATAATCCAAGCTCAAGACTTCTGCCAATAAAATGGGAACGTAGTCTTACTAAATCAAATATCATTGTATGCAAACTATGAAGAACGAGACTCGAACTACAATACAAAAGCAAAACACAATTTTCTAATCAGAGAACTGCTAAGAAAATTCTCTCAAAGTGAGACTCTCCGTCACCTTATGTTTTTTACAAAATATTTTATAATGTTGATACGAAAATTGTGCCAACAAAATGAAACTCTAAAAATGTCTCACTGTTTGAGAGAATCTCCTTAATGTTACTCTTCTAATCAACTTAAACACAGATTCTGGCATGCAAACTTGAAAACACTTGTCACGGACAAATTGGCCCCCAAAATTTAAAAGTGGTTAATCACCCTAACTTACTTCTAACCAATCCAAGATTAAGACTCCATTTACAAATTACAACCAACCCACGTTCTCACCGTTCTTAACCAATCCAAACCACTTACCACGGGTTCATCATCCACCGTCAAAATCATAATGCAAATAGTCAGTAGGGCCATTACACAAATAAGTCGGGCGGGTGGGCTCCACAAACACAATCCAACTTGGGAATTATGAACTTAACGTACCACCAAGCCTCCCCATCGGCTTATAAAACCCACCACCTTCAGGTCCTCCACGGCTTCACCATTAACACGAAAAGCACCTTCATCTCCGTCACCAGAGTAGTCAATATATACAGTAAGTTTCACGTATGGCTATGAAAAATCAATGGTAGTGAAGAGAGAGCGTATAACGGCAACGATGATGCATGTAAATGCAGTCCTGGTTGCCATCATGGTGGCTCTGCTAGCGTGCGCTCCTCAACGCATTTACTTTGAGGAGCGGCGCCTCACGGTGAACATGACTTTTGTCCGGAACGGTTCTGCTCTCGGAGCTTGTAAGTTTCTTCTCATTAACTCAAAAACTTGTAATTATGTAGTAAAAGAAAGTTTTAAACATGTTTATTTATTTAGTTTGCTTGGATGATAGTTTGCCTGCGTATCCCCTGCACAGAGGATTCGGGGCCAGAGCAAGAAACTGGCTTTTGCAGTTCGAGGTAACTCTCATTTTTTTTTAATTACGTGGGTTCAAAGAAAACTTATTAGTGATAATTAAAGTTAATAGCGTATAATTGAGAGTTAGCGATTTGAAATACTGCTATTGTAAGGTTGGAACAAAAGTTCAAAGTTAGTATTATATAATTAAAAGTGATTGACTTTAAATATTACCGGTGTATTCCAACGTAAGTTACTTAAGGCTGTCTTCAGACAAAAATTATAGGTTTTTTTAATCCGAACTTGTGTAAAACTCATCTCCAATCAAAGACCAAAATGATCTGCTAAATAGAATCAAGGTTAAATTTAGTCGAGAGCAGGTACATATAGTCGGTCCTTAAACCCTGTTCTACCACATCTCAATTCAAGTTATAGAGTTACTTAAATATGGTCAGCAATACGACATGTCGTTTTTATTCGTCTTGTGTACATATGGGAAACCAATACGACATCGTCGTTTGTATTTGTCTTACGTCTTGTGCACATTACCATATATAAAAATGCTATTCACATATTTATTTTTATCTTCCACATATATTTTTTAATTTTTGACTATTAATCTTCTTTAATTTATTCAATTTGACAGCCAAAAATTAAGAGAAGTTTGTGAGAAATAAAAATGCATGTGTGGATAACACCACCGTATAATATATACGTCAATTCCTCAATGCATGCTTTAACTAATAGTCATTGATTTAACTTGACTTGTGTATGAATGTCAAATCACGTAAGATGTCTTTCTTGAAAGCATTATAATTATGTATTTTAGTCTCATTCAACTTCACACTGATCTTACTCATATTTAAACTGCTATAATTAGACAATTCTATTCAAAATTTTCTCAATTGAACTTATATTTTATGATTTTACTTAATACGAGAACTGCCATAACCGGACCATCCTGCCAAAATTTCCTTTTATTTACTCATATCTTGGGGTCCATATATGGCACCACATTTACACATGCTATACTACTATTGCTGCTTTTTCATAATTTGGGCTATATATTTTGGCAAACAGCATAAGAGAGGGGCGAGCCTCTCTGCATTACTTATTTCATAACTTACCACTAATCCCAAATAGTGTTAACTTTTTGGCAGACAGATCCAGTAGAGGGGGGACGAGCTGGGGGTTTCTGGGTGCAACGTTCTTTTCTCCTTCAAGAGAGAGTTAATGCGTCGCACACGACTGTTGATGAAGAACTAATCTCGCTTAATCTGTCTCTTAAAAAAAAAACTCACTTTTTGCAGACAGTCCAATGCTCCTTTGCTTTTCTGTTGTCCCGATCACGTGGAATAAAAAATAGAGATGACAGCTATTTTCTCAGTGGTAGCTTCTGATCTAGCTGACCATCCTTCCAGCCTCTTCTAGTTTTGTGATTTCCTCTTGTTGTTGGAAAATTTAAGGCCGTGCCAAACATAGTCCATAGTGCACATTGGCCTATACATGTCCCATTACTGTACAAAACGACTTACATGGCAAAAGACACTGTCAGGATGGGGCTAATGAAATGAAGACATTTTGTCTAAACATCTTCACAAAAGGCCATATCACAGTGTTCCCATGTCATGAATACGAACAATCTCACTTTTCTTACTAGTTTGTACTTCTATGTGAGTGAGCTTGTAAGTTTGATACATATTGTTGGTCTATTATCTTAAGTTTTTGGACTAGTCGTCGAGAGCATGTTTTTGAAAAAATGGGCATTGAGTTTGATTCTTGTTCCTCACTTTTTTATTGGTTCCCTCTACTTGTTATGCACGTCAGGGAGCGTATAAGCTTGATGTACATCGTTACATTCGAATTTTGAACCAGATTTTTATAACTGGAACCGAGTGAAGCTTAGATGTTGTGATGGAGCTTCATTTGCTGGAGATGCAGTTGTTAATAACGGGGTACTTCTCTCTAAACATCTATTTCCTTCCCACGTTCTTAACTGATCATTTCTTTGCATGTAATGCGCGCTGTGAAATGATTATGACAGACATCGTTGCTCTATTTCAGAGGGCAAAAGATTTGGGAAGCAATCATCCTTGATCTTCTGCCGAAAGGTCTAGGACAAGCGCGTAAGGTAACACTGATCGATCAGAGAAATTCTTCTGACATTTTTGACGCGAACTTAGACACTCGAATTCAGTTACTTTGTCACATTCCATCTGTTTTCTAGGCTCTTTTATCAGGTTGTTCTGCTGGTGGTTTAGCATCATTTTTGCATTGTAACAACTTCACCAAATACTTACGAAGCAACGCCACTGTAAAATGCTTGATCGATGCCGGATTCTTTCTCGATGAGTAAGTTCGTTACGTCCATTTTCCAACGCCAAAGTACTTTGCAGTTAATGCATGTATCATTATATCTTCAACTTTCGGCGTCACATTTTTTTGCAGACGAGATATAAGCTTGAACCACACCATGTTATCTTTCGTGAAAGATCTTGTGACTCTACAGGTAACAAGTTCTAATGCCGAAATAAACCAAATTTTTTGTTGATTCTATATTTTCCGTGTTCTTATTAGTATATGGATGGCACGGAGTAGAGAAGAATCTGGAGGAGAACTGCACCAAGAATTCAGTTTATCCCGAGCTGGTAAGATTTTCGTAGCGTTGATCGTGGAGCTGTTAGCCGATTAATGCATGTTAATCACCTGGTTTTTAATATTTGCTATGTTTTGATGCAGTGTTTCTTCCCACAGTATGCACTGAAATGCATCACAACACCTTTCTTCATATTGAACTCAGCCTATGACGTTTACCAGGTATAAATTTTGAAATAATTGGTAGGCGTGAAATTTAGCTGCAATATGTTTCATACCTCTTTTCTCTCTGCATCTCTCGTCACGTGATGCACGTAAACAGTCCTTATCAATTAATGGACCTCGTATTTGTCCACAGTTCCATCACATACTGGTTCCGCCTTCAGCTGATCCGCGCGGACATTGGAACCGTTGCAAATTGAATCCTGCAGCATGCAATCCTGACCAGCTAAATACATTGCCTTCAAGTTGCATCATTTTCTTTAACCAAAGCGCGATCACGGACTGTGCGGTAGCTGAATCATCACTCTTTTTCTCTTAATCGTCAGAATTCAGGCGCGATATGATTGTTCTACAAGTATTCCAGAAGAGGAGGGATTTTCCTCAATTCATGCTTTGCTCATTGCCAAAGTGAGTCTCAAGACACATGGTTTGGTGATGATTCTCCAAGAGTACACACTAAGGTATTAATGTTAATATTTCCACCATTTAAGGAGATTCATGTCATTTCATATGCTACAATTTATACCAAGGGTTAGGCTGTATACGATATACATTCCTTCTGACTCTTGCAAAGCGAGAGACCTTGTCGGATTGGGTTGCCCATGTCATTTCATATTCCACGAATGTAAGAAGGTTTTGGTAGAGGTTGTGGATTGATGAGGTAATTTTTTTTTGCAGACGATTGCAGAAGCAGTAGGTGATTGGTACTTCAGCAGAAGAGTGACAAATGAGATTGATTGCCCATATCCTTTTGACACTACCAGCCATAACCTTATACCATCGACTCAAGTAATTAACGTTGTCATGATTTTCAGGCGTTATTGCAGAGAGATTCTAATATACAACTGGGATATATTTTCTCTTAGTTTTCTTCGTCACATGATCAGAAATATACAAACCGTACATTGCATATTTTCTCTTACCCATTTTTTATTATTAATTCCATTGATCTGACCTGCAAATATATATATATATATATATATTGATATATTGCAGGCCCTTTAAGAAGATTTACAAGCTATTAGCCAGGTCACAAAGGTCTTCAGGGGAAGGAAGGAGACAAAGTGCTATACATGGCACATCTTGTTAGAAAACAGGAAAAAGAAAAGCAAATATTCTTTTACGTCAATTGGATTCAATTCACCAATAAATTATTAGTTGGTTTATTTTTATCTTGTTTTTGTTTTTTTGTTAAACGATAAATTTTATTATATTAGATGTTAGATTAGTTACTGACGGAGTTTGAATTCATGTCGTCATATAAGAGCTCAACACCTTCCTATCACTATCGTAAATGGTCAATTTGATTGTGAAGTGCTCACCTTCTTTTTTATTTTCCTTTTTATTTTCCTGATGGAAAAATATTGCCTTCCAAAGAGCTTAAGGCCTTCAAATCTGAATCTTCAACATTATTTGACCCGAGATTCTTGTTGGGTTTGAACATTTATCTGGCCCAAAATTCCTACCATTCAGTAAACAAGCTGTTGAAAATGAAAAGAAAAAGGAATAATTGAAGTCTACTCCCACTCTACAAAATCTTACGTGAGATACATCATACGGCTCCTTGTTCAATTCTACTTAATTTCAAGGAAATTCCCCCTCTTACAACTCAAGTCTTTGTTGTTTTTGAACGTTAAATCATTGACTGTTTATCAGACTTTTTGTTCATCTACTATATTTTAAGCACAATTTGTTTATATGCTTGACATTTCAAACTCAACACATTTACTATAAGTTAAAAGTTTCGCAAACTCTCAGCCGTTCAAGACAAAAAGATTAGTAGAAAAGTGACCCACGAGGCACGGAATATTTTGCATTGAAAATAGATATTCAACGCATGCACAAAAATTATATCAGATTCCTCCCCTTACGTAAAATTTTGGTTTTTTTTTTTTAATTGAAAATTAATTTCACCAGATTTCTTGAAAATACTTTATTTCAAGGGCTTCCTTGGTATTTCAAACAAGAAAAAAGAAAGCTCCCATTTGCAATCCATGCAAGGACAAACAAGTAATTTTGCACGCACGAGAACCTTGTCACCCATTGGACGTCCAACAAAACGAAAAAAGATTTTTTTTCTTAGAGATCTTAAGAATTCCGTGATCTTATCCGTTCATCGTATATTGTGCAAACATCATTCATTAAGTACTATTCACATTTAATTTAAAATTTAAATTTAAAATTATAAAATGATTTCTGACTGTACGATGTACGATATACGATATAGGATGAACGAATAAAATTACGAGATTCTTCATTTTCCAAACAAACTTGGAAGCCATGAAGATTCCAATCCAAGCTGGGAAGCCATAAAGATTCCTGGCAATCCGCCGCATTCCACGCCACATCACCGCGGCCTTTTGCAAACCGAATTACTAAACCGCCCTTCTTAAATTTAAGATGCAAAATCCTGTTATTTTATTCAGATTGCCGCATTTGCCCTCGTCGCGACTCTTACATCATTCGTCATTTCTCACACTCATCATTACGCACACAAATCTCGGCAAAGCGAGAAGACCGAGAGCGAGAAGACTGAGAGCGAGAGAGTGGAGTGGCTACAGCAGCAGCAGAAGTTGCAGTTGTGGTAGGGTGAGGGAAATGCCTTGCTCTGCAATCGGCGGTGCTGGCGGAGGCGGTGGGGACAGTAATGGTGCTTTGAGCAATTTCAAGCTCAACGAGTCCACGTTCTTGGCCTCCCTCATGCCGAAGAAAGAGATTGGCGCCGATCGATTCATCGATGCGCATCCTAACTACGACGGCCGCGGCGCCCTCATCGCTATCTTCGGTAACTTATTCAGTTCAATCGCTTAGTTTCCGTTTGGAAGCAAAGAAAATTATAGAAAGGAGAATTGCTCTAATTCTAAACTTATATTTTCTGTTTGATTCATCTAAGAAGAAAGAAACGTGTGATTATAGCTGTGATTAGGTGTAATTACGAAAATTAGTTTAGAAATTAGTTGACAGAAGAAAGAAAGTATTGGATTGATTTTCTGAGCTGAGGAAATTAAGCTGTTGAAACTTGAACTGAAACTTTGAACCAGATTCTGGAGTGGATCCAGCTGCTTCTGGATTACAAGTTACGTCAGACGGAAAGCCGAAAGTCCTAGATGTTCTTGATTGGTAACTATGATTAAACTAATTTATCTGAGCAAAGAATTGGTATTTACTAAAACCCTTGATTTAATCTGATACCTTCTGTTTTTTCAGCACCGGGAGTGGTGATGTTGATACTTCGAAGGTAGTCAAGGCCGATGACGATGGTTGTATTCGTGGAGCTTCAGGTTATTTTCTCGATCTATTTGTGTGTAATGTATCTATGTTTCTTGAGCTTTGTAGCCTGTGTTTATATGTTTGGTTGACCGGGTTTTGGAGTTTATACGGACATCTTTAGCTTATAGAAAAGAACTATCTAATTTATACAGCCATCTTAAGCCCTGTTTTCAAAATTGCCATGCGTGGTTTTAATGCAAAGTTTCATACAGGAGCATCTCTGTTTGTCAACTCTTCATGGAAAAATCCTTCCGGTGAATGGCATGTGGGCTATAAATTGGTATATGAGCTATTTACAAATACATTGACTTCTCGCTTGAAGGTGAGCATTATGATCCATTGATTTGTTTTTTCGGATTTTCTTTGTAGTCTCTGTCATCACTTCAGATGATAATGACAAATTTTCCCTCTTTTGCTTTTATGTTTTCACTGACAGAAAGAAAAAAGGAAAAAATGGGATGAACAAAACCAAGAAGAAATTGCCAAGGCTGTTAAACATCTTCAAGAGTTTGATCAGGTTTTTGAACATGATGCTTCTTAATTTCTTTACTGGGAATAAATATGACTTACGTACTTCATCCTGTGCTGTTAATTTTGTGTAAGCATACCATAAACTCAACTGAAAGTGTTAACTGAACGAAAATGGTTATTATTCCAATTTCATGTAAAATTGTTTTCTTTTCACTGGGAAATGGCCTCTCAGTCTATTAGTTTTTATACCTTCTTGTTCAAGTTAGTTTGTTGTAATACTGTACCTGCGTAGAAAGGGGATGGATTTAACTGCTATCTATCATTTGAAATGTACATCTGTTAATGTTGGAAAGCATCTCTAACATAGTTCACCATAATCTGATCAATTCTATGTAAAGCTTTCCAGCTACTTCCCTCAAAATACATGGTTAGCACAGGTAGTCTCCTGCATGCTTGCATTATGTTGCTCCTAAATATGTAAGTTACTCTGTTACCATTTTCAGAAACACAGCAGATTGGATGATGTTAACTTGAAAAGAGCTCGCGAGGACCTGCAAAATAGAGTTGATTACCTACAAAAGCAAGCTGATGTGAGCGCAAAATTTATTTTAACAAAATAAAAATAAATTCCTATGCAACTCTTAATGGTAGTAATTTTTTGTCTTCTAGAGCTATGATGACAAAGGGCCTGTCATAGATGCTGTTGTATGGCATGATGGAGAAGTATGGAGGGTTGCCCTTGACACACAGACTCTTGAGGATGACCCAGATTGTGGAAAACTTGCAAACTTTGTGCCCCTAACTAATTATAGGTATGGTTGGGTTGGTTTATTGGAAGTTTTGTTAGAAAGTTGAGACAAAGAAACTTATTGTAATAAAGTATCCTAATTTTCTCAAGACCACATTTTTCATCTGATTTTGAGTTGCAAATTTATTTGTCTTTGGTGTTTTAGTTTCCAGTACAGTGGCCATGATAATGGATCTATTATATAGAATTTGTTAGTTAGTAGTTACTTATATAAACTTTTTTACAGGATAGAACGAAAATATGGTGTTTTTAGCAAATTAGATGCCTGTACATTTGTTGCTAATGTGTACGATGAAGGGAATATTCTAAGTATTGTAACAGATTGCCATCCACATGGCACTCATGTTGCTGGTATCGCTACTGCTTTCCATCCGAAGGTACTATTATGCAGGCTACATTTACTGCACTTTTTTTTCAATGCTAGGGTAATATACTTATGATACATGTCTTGTTCTTAGGAACCCCTGTTGAATGGAGTTGCTCCTGGAGCACAAATAATATCTTGTAAGATTGGAGACTCACGTTTAGGTTTAATGGAGACTGGAACTGGGTTGACTCGAGCCCTGATTGCTGCTGTGGAGGTGCTTTTAAATTCTATTATTTTCTAATAACTCTAAGATAATCAACAATTTTAGTATTGCTCAAGTCTGTGGAGGTGCTTTGAAATTCTATTATTTTCTAATAACTCTAAGATAATCAATAATTTTAGTATTGCCCAAGTGTTGTTTAGGATTCAGCATTGTGATACTAGTAGACTCCAATGCCTTTTATAGATGATTATCATGATGGCTTTTACAATGTTTTCTGCAGCATAAATGTGATTTGATCAACATGAGTTATGGAGAAGCTACACTGCTGCCAGACTATGGGCGTTTTGTTGACCTTGTTAATGAAGTATCATTTCTAAATTTGTGACTTTGTCCTTGATAACGGCTTTTTTTTTTTTTTTTTTTTTTTCTGTCCTTTTATCTTTCATGCTCTCACACATGTTATATTCTACCCATTGGTGCTAAACTAGGCTGTGAACAAGCACCATCTGATATTTGTGAGTAGTGCTGGCAATAATGGGCCAGCATTGAGCACTGTTGGAGCACCTGGTGGTACCACATCAAGCATTATAGGAGTTGGTGCATATGTCTCTCCTGCAATGGCTGCTGGTGCTCATTGTGTAGTTGAAGCTCCAGGTGAAGGGCTTGAGTACACTTGGTATACTAACTTCCTTCTTATGACTTTCAATGTTAAACAAGAGTTCCCTCTTTCGGCTTCATTTAAGTTGGTCTTCTGGTTCCATGAGATTGTATGGTTGATATGCAGGTCTAGCCGTGGGCCAACCAGTGATGGAGCTCTTGGTGTCTGTATAAGTGCTCCTGGTGCAGCTGTTGCTCCTGTTCCTACATGGACTCTTCAGCGACGCATGCTCATGAATGGAACATCAATGTCATCTCCATCTGCTTGTGGGGGAATTGCATTGCTTGTTAGTGCAATGAAGGTACTTGTGTTATGCATTAGTAATCTTGTCGTCTGCTCTTTTGACATTGTTGGTACAAATATGTATTTTTTGGTGTAACTTCTTAAATCTATTGTTTTCTGCAGGCTGAGGGTATTCCTGTGAGTCCATACAGTGTAAGGAAGGCTCTTGAGAATACATCTGTTCCTATAGGCAGTTTGCCTGAAGATAAACTATCAA